GATCGTTAGAGGAGGGGATGAAGACCCAACAACGCACTCCTTCACGAAGTGGGGCACCTGCGACTTGGTCATAATGTGTGTCCGTCCGGCCATAACCACCAAGTTGGGGGCCTGCCAGTGCCCATTCTGGGGGAAAATTCCACCTCTCTCTGGGAGGATCACAAAGAGTTTATCTCCAAGTCGCCCATCACCGTACATGATGGGCATGGCAGTGAAAGAATGCGTGAGTGATGAGATGGACTGTACCACTCTCATCACTTGTTTGGAGCCGACAGGTGCCAAAGTTCTGCAACGAGCAATTATTTATAACCGCCATCCAAGCAAGTTACCCTCAAAAAGTACCTCTTCGAAACCACTTCTTTGTTGATCCCAGTCTGATCTGCGTTAGCAAATACAGACAAGGGATACTTTTGCATTTCCTCCCTTACGCGCTTCACAAAGCACTCTGCCTCCATTTCAACATCTTCTCTACGACGGATATTAGCTGTGGTGACAAAGCGTGTTACCCTCCTGGATCGCAGGCCACTTTCACTCACAAACTTGGCAATCCACGATTTGGAGGCTTTGAAGTCTAGTATAAGGTTGTGCTCCAAGTTCAGGCCGTATAGCCATCTTGCGTAGTGATGGAAGATTGACAGAGGAAGCGCGCAAGTTCATGTGATCTTTGCTGCCACTGCGAAAATTCTTTAGCTTGCCTTTTCTAATTAAATACTTCACATCATACCTTGTTCTGCGGCCTCTAGAACTCTTTCGCGGAGGAGGGCTGATAACTTCTTGAATTTCTCTACTTTAGATTCTTCATACACGGCTGAATAAAAAAAATTGGGAGACTACAAAGAGTACACACGCTCACTTCTGAAATCATGGGAACTTCGAGTACTTCTTTTTTCCAATCTTCGCAGTAGATTCAAATGATGCTTGGTTTTTATCCAAGTGTAACGATTTGTCATAGAAGACAGACTTCGATTCCCTTTGTCAGGCTCTCGATAATAGGAGACGGCTTGTCTGATCTATGAAAACGTAGATAACAGTGAACCTATGCTAGTAACTAGTTGCAACCAACAGTGTCTTCAGGGATTAGTCTCCCATCGAAAAGAACACTTTTGCATCCAGTGTGGCCGTGGGCGTTGCTTTCATCGTCGCTGTCGTCATCAGGAGTCCAATCTACATCAAGTTTTTCATCGAGAGACACCTGTAAGCTATCAAAAGTAGAAAAATCGTCATATTCTTCCTAACCGCTGATACGTTCGTGTGAACCCTAACCTGAAACGAGTCTTCCTCCTCCTCAAAATCAATGTCACCGAAGGTGGCATTGTGAAGTAGTCCTTTAAAGGCATCAGCGATAGCAATCTCTTTCCTTGTAGGAGGTGAGAAGTCCGGAGCAAAGAGGAAAGAAGACGGCCAATGGACTCTCGCAGGCTTGAGAACGACGATGTTGAGATGGATAAGCGCTGCAGCCACAGTATATATATATTCATCTTGTCATAATTTCCGGTGGATTCCAAGGACAATCGTGATGTGCAAGTTGGAACTTGTACGGATACACTCTGCGAAAGAGAACCTCCGTGACGTACGCATGGGTGGCAGCTGGGTACGTTGAGGAGCATCCTGGGCCGTTTTCATCTCCAGCCGACTATGCCTTCAACGAAGGAGAGGTGGTAGTCCCATGCGAAGAAAATAATACCTGTTCTTCCTTGGCCTTTGTTCGGTGCAGCTGGTGTGGGAGGCGGCTGTGCTTTATATGCTTCGTTGATCAATATCATAATTGTTAGCCGTTCGTTGGAAATAAAGAGAAAATTCTTATCGATACACACACAAGTTTGCGAGAGACCAATGCGAATTTGCAGTCGCAGGATCTCAAAACTGACTCAAATCCGCATTATATGCATGCGCAGGAGCGCACGATCACAGGAAAATGACAATCAAAAAAAAGCAAAATTTGGGCGCTGCGGGGACTCGAACCATGAACACCGCCCCTTCTCGCTCCGATTCACAGACCGCTCCACTAACCACTAGGCCATCCGACTGCCGCTGACAGCATGGCTTCAGCCGGCGCTGATGAATGTTCCACAATAGTTTCAATACATGCCAAGGAGATCGTTTTATTTTTGACCGAATTCCGCATTGTTTTCAATGTACAATTCATGAGAACCTTTTGATATGACACTGGTCAACGCTGTGTGCGATGTACGTCACAACAAAGCGGTTAGAACGGCAGTTCCTTAAGAATTTTTTCTTCGCTCCTTTTTTGGTATTCAGAGGGCCGCTCAGGAAAAATGAACTACAGTTTGGTGTTCCATGCATGTGTCCCTATATCATGCAAAAAACCGTTTTGAAAAAGCTTGGCATTTCTGGAAGACCTCCCTGGTAAGACCCTAGGCGCCATGGACTTCTAACAGACTCCACCAAACTTAACATGGTCCGCCCACCGTTCGATATCTTGTCTGCGTCGCTAACTTGATCTGCTATGCTCTCTCTACCGCTCTCCGCGCTCACATTATCTCTCATCTCCCTGCCTGCCTTTTGAACTTCTCCGCAGCGTAGAGCAAAAGGCTCGTATTTCCTGTGTATTTCAGGATTTTCTTTCCTTTTTTCTCCACTGGCGGTCCACCTCCCACCCCTACTTTCACATTTGAGTGGAATTACCTCATCAATTTAATCCTGAATTCTTGCCTTTAATTATTGTATCTCTTCCTTGTATTGGTGCATATGCGATTGCAGCCGCATTTCTTGCTGGCACGAGCCAGCAATAAATGCCGGCGGAGCAAGCTAGTTCGGACAGCTCGTCCGGCCACACCCCTCCTTCATTTCAAAGGGTAAGAGAGGGATTCTTTGTTTAAAGCTTCGAAGACCTTGAGAACAATAGCCATGGGCCACCTTCGCCTTGTGAAAGTTTGACCTATATTTGTTTGTGATTGGTCCTTCATCAAAGCCGTATCTCTATGAGGTGCAGAACCCTGCTGACGTTCGCTTTAAGCAGAGCAAGCTTCTCAGACCCTTCCTACACTCTGATTCTCGTGATAAGACGTGCCGTGCCTGCAGACCATGTGACACTACACGTGACTTCAACATCAACAAGCAGTACCGTCAAAAACATGTGGTATAAAAATCTTAGGCTACTGCCACGTATATCACTCATGGTTAGTCTGCAGTAGCGATATACAGTCCACATCACGCCCTCTGATGAGGCGTGTCTACGGATTTGACCTTGCGGCCGCCTCACTTGAGAGAAATACCTTGAAGCTGTTTGCAACAGCAGTTCGTTGTGAGCAAAGCATGATGGGAACAGCTTTTCCAAGCGACTTCAATCGGAGCGGACGGCACCACGTCAAATCCACAAACACGACTCAGACAGGGAGATGTGGGACGTATCTTGCCGCGGGGAAGTTATTTATTAGAGCTACTAGGTTTTTTGATTGCCTTCAAAATTTGAAGGCAAATGGTACTGTAGACTGATCGTTATTGGGAATGGAGACAGGGCTCCCCACAAAGGCAGCGGTCATCAACCCGACTGGATCTCCTACAAGGGAGGTCTTTTAGGGTGCAGAGCGTTTTTCAAGGCAGTTTTCTGCATTTTATAGGAACGCATGGGATTACAAAACCGCGGTCCACTTTCGGTGAGCGAACCTCCCGTGAAGGCTGAAAATGGTGAAAAATGGTCCAATGTGACAAAATGGTTGTGTATTAGAATCATCGCTTCCGAATTCCCTCCGAATACCACCAGCGCCAATAGTAAATGTCATGTTCATCACCAGAATCGGCTATCCTTCGCTAGAACTATGCATCACTCCAACGCTGTAAAATCACCCTGCTCCAAGCAAATTTCTAGGATCCTTTTTGCCTTCAGGGGGCCGCTCAGCGAAAATGAAACTTAGTTTGTAGTCCACGTGAGAGCCCCTACAGCATGCAAAAACCGTTTTGAAAAAGCGCTCCACACCCTGAACGACCTTCCTTGTTAGGAGCCTGTTCTATTTTTGCTGCTCTAGCAGCTCACAAAAATTTGAGTAGAACAGGGCGTATGAGCGTAGCCCGCATACGGAACAGGTTATAAGATACATTCATCTCCTCAAGGATAAACTTATATCGCAATGTTTCGGCCAAACGTTTTTTTTTTGCACCATGGGATAGTATAATATTGTAGATCCCACGGTGCAATGGGAATCTTTACGCAAAATCGATTTAATTTGATAGCTTAATAGCAGTTCTCTATGACCTCATGCAGCTTCAGACGCAGAAAGGCTGTGGACTAATGATTGACATTTGTTATCTATGTAAGAGAAAAATTGGGGCACCGGTCATTAAGTCTACGTTGCTGCGGCCCGGCGTCGTGCGGTGTATGTTCTAGGACGTCGGAATGTGAAATCAGTGTGCTGTGCATACCGAGGCCAAAAATTTGCGCGACCTCGTACTCTAACCTCCTCACCGACATCCGTGATAGACGATGTGATTCCATCCATTCAGATGACATCCATTCGCCCTTCCTACTTTCAGACTCATTCGTGTTCATTTATATACATCTCAGAAGGAATGGTTATCCTATCCACCTATTTAAAATGCACAGTTATATACATGCCCTAAAATGCTGACCAGAGTTCAAGTTCACTTTCGTTATCTGTGTAACGATTCCCTGAAAGAAGTCATGAAGCAAGAAAGCGCAGTGGTAAAGACCTTGACTCACAGGCAAGAGGTCATGGGATCGATTCCAATGCGAGTCCAGACTTTTCGCTCTTCTCAGAGATATGTTGAACGTCTTTCTAGCCACATTCTCATAAAAGCAAAAGTCCTGACTCGCACTGGAGTTGATCCCTCGACATTTTGCCTATGAGTCAAGGTCATTACCACTGTGCTTCCTGTGTTATAACCTCTTTGAGCGAATCCTTCCACGTTCAACTAAGGTAGATTTGAACTCGTTTCGAGACACTTATATGATTTCAAATAGTCTAACTGACCAAGTGACTTTTCTTTGTTAGACATTTCGCAGTTCTGAATACAGCACAAAGATGTTGCTCAATTCCAGGAACGGCTTCCTGGATCCGTGGTCAGGTGGCGGTTGGTCGATGACACCGAAAGTTGAAGGAACTCTCGTGTCGTTGATTCTCAAGGAGGGAGCTCATCATTACGACCTTCGCGGAACACATCCCGACGATACCGAAGAGGTTTGTATCTCTGCTTCTACTCGTGCTTTCCTTCACACTGCTCATATCTGAACTGTCCTAAACGAGCAAAATTCCCGGTACTAAACAGCTATCGCACTTGAACCAGCTTTTCCTTCTCTTACATTCCTGCACGCGCGGTGAGAACAAGGATAGGTAGTGTTCGGGGTCGACCAACGTTAGCCCTCCCTTTCAAATCAAATTCAACAGTTTCGACGGGATTACCTGACAAATACGACGGAAACTTGCGAAAGAAGCGTGGAATATGCAAAAGTTGAGCATTTGCCTTTTATTTTTCGTCATATGACACAATTACCCCCCCCCCCCCCAAGCCCAAACCCAACCCACGCCGACGGCTGGAAACTGGAAGGAATTCGAGTGAGGGACAGGTTTGGAATCTTCAGAAAACCATGTGGCAACAGCAGAGTACCAGCGAAAACCCTCTTTGAAGAGCTGGGGGCGGCAAGGTGAAACTCCAGTTCGGGGGGGCCACTCCATTTTTTCTCCAATACTCAAGATAAGGATTAGAGGGCTCACGACACGTAATCGACTCATTTAAAGTAGACTTCTGATAAATATTCGGTGTAATGGTGAGAAACCCTGAAACGTTTTCACATTTCCGCCTGCCATGACCCAAGGGAACGGTCCTGGACCAGGAGAAAGGACACCTCCGCAAAGGGCTAAGGGTGCAGGAGCTCCAGGGTGGATCACCTGTGCAGAAAAGTGGATGGGATGTGGGCAGGTAGTGTGGAATGTAGGACATCCACCGGTCCTTATCAAAAGTACGCTCGAAATGAGTCGTTCACTTATTATCTTATCCGTAGTGTTCGATAGCCCAAAGAACTGCTCTCTAGTACTACGGATAAGATAGCAATGGAGTGCCCCCCCCCGAACTGGAGTTTCACCGGTGCGTAATATTTTCGAAGATTGTGAATATGATGGTTGACGCAGGCTCCACAAACACACCGCAAAAGTAGGACAAAAACACATTGAATGCGGAGCATACAATGAAAGGGCAGCCTATCGAAAAATCAAGCTGGCGTTGGTCAATAGTGGGGATGAAGAAAACCATGAGTAACAGCCCAGAATCCAAGGAATGGTCATTTTGCTGCCCATTAAATACCGCATTGATGCGCCTCTCATCGGTGGGCGGCCTCTTGAACGCTAGTGCTTTTTCTGCTAAACAGCCAGAATCAGACGGCGGGTGGGTGGGTGAGCTGCGGCGCGGATATGGCCTTGCTAGCCGCTGGTGCACTTCGTTGCAAAACACGCATTGGCTCGCACTCCTAGGGGGTCCGCTGCCCTTGGACAAACTGCTTATATTTCACCTTCTTCTACCTCCATCATCGCGGGCGAGAGGTAAAGCTTATCCGACGTGAATGGGTAATGATAATATGGTTGGTTACACATTCAGGAATGGGGCTAGGATTTCACTAGTGACTTATATAGATCAATTTTGGTCTATTCGCTTCAATTGCTTTGACTATAACTGACTGTAAAGAATGCCTCCCGAGGAGCCCCTGCTCTATATCGCACGCTTCCATTTCTGACCATCAAAAGTGGAATAGTTACTGTACCCTTGCAGAAAAAATACAATTCCTTCCCCAGAACAGATAATTAAATTTAAAAAAAAAACTTTCAGGTGAAGAATGTTCGCAAGCAAGAAAAGACTTACATAAAGAAATGGATACAGAAAGCAAATTTACACAGGAGCTGAGGAATGATTATCGCACTTTCACCAATTGAATAATAAATATTTCATGACATCTGATAACACGAGATACAACTCAGTGTTGATAATTTCTATAAGAGGTGACTCTTTCTCACTCCTAAATCCTGAAGAATTGCAACAATCGACGCTCATGAAAACACTTTTATAGTTACCAGGAATAGAATTAGACCAGGCACAGTTTCCTATATCATCCTTACAGCATAATTATGTGTTATTTTTGATGCATTTCTTTTAAAAAGGCACATACCTTTCACTTCATACTCTATTACCGCTATTTCTGAAGATCTAACAACATAACAATAAAACAAACATTAAATTGAGTTGTAATAGAACTCTCTCAAAGTGGTCTTCCGTACAGATCGCCTCGCAAAGTTTGAGAAGAACAGTCATTGATCTGAAATATCGAAGGTTTTGCAGAAAGTTTTTCGTCTAAGCAAAGAAGAGGAATTAAGACCAACCTTCACAACCACATAGTCTCCAGACTCATAGTGTGCGCTGTTCTCAAATATGACCTTTGTTCCACAGTCTGCACGGCCTTGCAAAGCCGTTGGAGATCGTCTAGATACCTAAACATGTACTCTGTTCAAGAACTTGAGCATGCAATTCGGAATTCTTCGAAACAATCTTATGCTGACCCCTTCAACCAACACGAGCTGTTCAGTTCCCATGAGGGACGTATTGAATGCCAATGATTCCTCACGGAAAACTGCAGCTAGCTCTTCATGTCGCCGTCGTTTCACATCCTCGGGTACGTCGTCCGTTAATCGATAATGAGCACGAGTCTTCTAAATAGCAAAACATTGTTCATCCTATAATAAAACTATACTTGCTGATTTCGCATCAATAGCCTTATAATATGCAAAGTGCAAAGTGAAAAATCCATACAATTTATAAAGTAGATCTTCTGACCTCTCTCATGCTGTACGGAAAGACATAACAAAATGTATATTTAACATTTCGTATCAACTCGACCGTCCTCCTATGAGCGTCTTCAGTTTCACCGCAAAAGCCAGCAATGAAATCACTAGTTAGGCTTACGTCTGAAAGCCACACGCATGAAATAAAATGATAGCGAACCAAGGATAAGCATTACCTGGAAGCACTCCTCGTATGTCGTCTACCAATCGCAGATAAGCTTCTCTAGTATAGCCACGTCCCATCCGCTCTAATGTATCATCGTCACCACTTTGTGCAGGTAAATGTAACTGATTACAAATGTTTGGTCGTTCTTTGATCAATTTGATCACCTGCAAATGAAACAGTGAAATGGTATCAAGGGCAGTGGATACGTTGGGGGAGAGGGAGTTGATATGCAGTGGTGCAATAGTGAAAGAAACCGAGAGAAAAGAGCTAACAGTTGCGAAATGGGACCATACCATTTCTTACATTTCGGCGCTGGATGAGGTTGCATGGCTGGTAGCTGGTCCAGCTGGCATCGCCAAAAAGAACGCTGCGCCTTCTGATGCAAGGGCGGAGCTGCACCACTAAGGTGTGCAAGAGGAATGCAAGGCGGCGCAGGAAACAAAGCTAGAAGCCTGGTGAGCTTGCCCGAGCGTGTCCTTCAGCGCAACCAGGAATCTGCCAGCCATCGTTTGCTTAAGCGCCTATCCTCCCTTTCATAAGCATATTCTTTCTTCTCGGAAACTTAACTGCCGAACCTCACTGCCTTTTGGGGCAAACAGCGAATAAGTCAGAATAAAAAAAACTGAGAGCTATCGCTTTGATAAAGAAACCCGTTCATAATAAAAAAAATCACCTCGATCGGAAAATCCTTGGGATGTGGTGACGTGAAACGAATACGCATTTCAGGATCCACTTCGGAGATCTTTTCAAGGAGTGTCAGAAATGTCCGCCCACCTGTCTTCGGCCTAATCACAAAACTCTAATTGGGCAGGGAATTTTTAGTGAACATCACTCACTTGTAAACCGTCGAAAATCCTGGAACAGTACCGGTTGGCAGAGCGGCATCCACTACGTAGCTAGATTCGGACATGTCTCTATAGCTATTGACATTCTGACCCAATAAAGTGATTTGTTTGAAACCCTGAAACAATGCTACTAAAAAGGAAGAGCAGAATTCAAGCCACTATCGAATCAAATATCGGGTTGCAAGCATGACACTCATCAATGGCTGAGTGGTCACCCCTTTTCAAACCTGTCAAACTAGATCATTTCTCAGACATTTTTTGTTTCACAATGTTTCTATTAGGTCGTCCCAAAAGTTCGTGCCACCTTTCTGCAGCTCACGCCAAACTTTATTTAGCAGTTTCTGCAAATTTTCAAGTAGGCTACGACAGAACCTGAGGTAGTCGACAACCGAATCATGCCCGTTCTAACTGCTTGCTTCGACTTCAGAATGGGAAAGAAAAGCCATGTTTTCCAAGATTTGATTCATGAACTTCTACTGAGCCACGAACTGGTAGAAGTCACGAGTAACATTTGCTACAACCACCTTGTCATCGCAATCCATGCGGACCATATCAGAATGGTAAGAACTGCTCCTTCTTCTACTCCGCTCAGGAAACTTCTTCTTCTTCTACTACTTCGCTGAGGGAACTACAATCTGGAAGGAAACGCTTGTTCACGAAGGACATCGGTGTCGGATCTAAACCAGCTGCTCTCTCACTGGAGCCAACCCGCACAAGTTAACTTGCTATGTGACCAGTACCTAGATGCTTCAGGTACACAGTCGAGAGGAGTCTGCTCTCCTTGGAAAATTGTTGACGCTTTGACAAAGAAATCCTTCTGAATTTACCAGTAATCACAAGATTGCAAGACAAGTCCTCTCTACATCTTCCATCGTTTCATCCCTACGTGGTGACTGAATAACGTCGTTATGGCCGATCAGAAGTGGTGGTTCTATGCAAAGCAACAGCAGCACCAATAACTGGTTCGATTAGAAGAGGATAAAAACTATGGAATTCAGCAGAAGGTTTGGTCCACGTATGGAAACAAAATCGCGGACAGCCACTGAAAACTTCTCTCCGGCTTCGGCTTTGTAACAAGCCAGGATTCCTGTAATCAACCCCTGCGCTGGTGAGGAAACTCAACTAACCGGCCCAAAACGCATCAAAGTATGTCCGCTCCACGAAAACCGATCACGCTTTCAGAAAATGAGGAAAAAGTGCATATGAAAATCTCGAGGCTTAGTCGAGAGATTTCACCCGAACAACAGTGCAACGTTTAATAGCCTCCTCCCAAAGACCGTCCATTCTTCTGTAATCTTGCGAGTGAAAAACTCTTCCAAAAGCACCTCAAAATCGACCTCATCGCCTTTTGCAGCTTGAAGCCGCCGACCTTTCGGGAATATAGCGTAAACTCTTTGATAGATAATTATACACAAGTCACCAATAGTGATGTCTCGTGTGGGTTAAGGATATTGCTTTTTGTTGGATAGTGCTAATTCAGAAAATGTCGAAAGTGGCACGAACTTCTGGGACAACATAATAAAAGGCAAGGCTGCTGAGGATACCACTAATATTCAGTAGTGACGCGACTTCTAAAAGGTCTGCCTTATTCAATAGCTCTCAACTACAGTTGAAAGTGAGCTAACAATAGAACGAACGCACGCACACACAGAGTTATGACAAAAACACTTCATAAACAAATCTTCAGAATACCTCATCGCTCAATCGTCGAACCTCATCGATAATAGAATCAATCGGACGACTTCGTTCCCGGCCTCTCGTCAAGAGGTACAACACAATATGTGCACATATTGTCGCAACCACGCATTATAGAGCTGTTATACATAATATGTATGAAACCATTTTTGTATATCTGGAAGCTGTAACAAACTATACGAAGAACTATTAGTGAACTCACACAAATGCGGTCCTCGAGTTACTGTCGACTCGAACAGGTTGAACATCGGCATATGTTTCTTCTACAGATAGTTGAACGTTAATTGCACTACTACCGGCCCGAGCAACAGCTATCAGACGAGGTAAATCCCTATAGGCATCGGGACCTAAACTACACTAACACTGAAGATATTACATTCATCATAAAGACAAATGCTCCATGATGTCAAAAAAAACTATAGTTTTACCAGCAACAACATCGACTAATCCCTTCTTTGAAAGAAGACCATGCCGCACACGTTCAGCCATACAACCTAAAAGTGTTAAAAAAAGAGCTAAACTTTGTGACAGTGAAGTAACGCAATTATGAATTAGGGAGTTCAAAAACGTAAATCCGACTTGAAGCGTGGTGCCTTTAGTTTCGATCTCTACTTATCATTTTTCCCAATGTTTTTTAAAGTTTTCTTTTTCCACTCCCGGAAAAAGAACAGGACATGATCAATGCAAAAGCTTGGAACTCACCTAGAACACCGACTACTGGTCTGCGCCGTTTTGCCACAATATTCCGAATTCGCTTCAATTCACGCCATACTTTCTCTTCAGCTCCTTCACGAATTGAGCATGTGATCAGAACGATTACATCTGCCTGATGAAGTAACAGTGCGAGAATAAAAAATGAATTCTAATTACTAATTGGTTGATAATTTTACGGGATTCTACGCCGACCAGTTTAAATATGCTACTTGGAATTCAGTCAGCGTAATAACAGTAACGATTCGTCACTAAACTTCTTTCAGGGTTCTGTTCCAGTTAGACGGGCCTCATTGATGTATGCTGGTGACTTGAACATTCCAGCTTTTCACGCATGTCAAGTGACTGCCCTCACCCCCACCCCCTAGACTGGCTGCACTCCCCCTGGCTCGGGGTTATCCTAGCTTTACTGAAAAAACTGCATCATGATGCCCCCTAACTGGAAAAGACCCCTCTTCCATATTGTTAGAAAAATTGCTCTGGGAAAATAAAAATGATAGATAACTATATGAAATGGGAAGACTTCATGCGTATCTTCGGAACCACAATTTCAGCAAACTTAAAAGAGATTTCTTAAAAGCGTGACAATTGCAGCCGCCTACCAAAATTCCAACTTTCGCGAAGGGGAGGAAATCCTCGGGATGCGTGAACCACCTCGCTTCCGCCCTCACACCCACCTCAGAACTTCCTTCTTTCCTTCGCGAAAAATTGGATTAGTTCAGGAGTTATGAACTCGCACCACATTCCCTCCCCTACTGGACTAGACTCCACAGAAGTACCACTTACATCTTGTAAGTCTTCGGTTTCAACATAGTCGCTGTTCTTCAGCAATGCGCGAACGACTTCCATATCGTTCACATTCATTTGACATCCATAAGTGATGTATTTCACTACAAAACATATAATTATTAAGAAAGGATGGAGCTCTCAGACATTTAATGAGAAAAAACAAGAAGTCTACTTGCGTACCCTTTCGTCCTTGTCCTGATATGTCTGCGGGATCCAAATATGAGCTGGACTCCTCTATGGTTGGGGAGATCTTCGGAAGGCGAGCCCTGTGAGACTTCTGGATGAAATGTTCGAGACCCGGTCCATCTTAAAGAGAATGAAATATCACTCAAAGAATGGAGGTTAGACATCCCAGCCCACTTATACAAATCACTTTATCCTAGAACAAAATCTTGCAAATATTCTATAGAAGAAGACTAGCAGAATGCAACTATGAAAAGAATCTTGAATCAGATAACAAAAATACCTATTGGTTGGAGGCGCCGTTTTCCTTCTCTGACTGTCGTAGCTACCGCTTCACTTCCATAACGACGACACCTCACAACTACCACATTCCGCAACAGAGGAGCGAAAAGCCGACTCATGCGGTCACTAGTTTATTGTTACAGCTCCTGTAAAATACAGATTGAGAAAATGAAAGCCGTGTTGAGATGGAACATAGAGACGCGCCTTGATGACGCATATGAAGACGGTCATAACTAGTAATTGAAGCTGAAAAAGAACCAAATTAAAGCATACTGTCGTGAGCAGACCGCGGACCACACAGGTATGAAGTTCCGATCAAATGCTCAAAAACGGAGCATGGCATTCACGTCTAGTGTTTTATCTACTAACAGTGTGGGATATAACACCTTCCACCTCCAAGACGGAGCTGTTTGAGGAGGAAACTCATCGCTAAACCTACACCGACAAAAAAAGCCTGCACTAGATTTCTTCGTCGCCCGCCTCATGAGGATTGTCTTCACCTCCCATCGAAATCATATTTGTAGACCGGTTCGGGAGGACAAGGGGAAAAAACCCCGCTGATATCTAAGCACTTTGTAAATGACAAATGAAATCCGGTGAAGATACCTTGACGAGTGAGCAGAAAACCAATGAGTAGCGCACTCTGGTTATATCTAACCCCGCAGTTTGTTACCCACAGATTACCTCTTTGTGGTCCAGACTGAGTGCCGCATTTTGTACGGATTTCATTTGTCCTACACAGCGTTGGGTGTAAATATCAGCGAGTGGCTTCTTATCCTCCCGACGTAGTACACATGAATACTGATACTGGTAGGATGAATGGTACAGGTAACTTTGAAAACTACATCGCTACGTCGCATTACTTAAAACAGAGTTATCATGCAAATAATCCAAGAATGTACGATGCATCAC